TGGGGCTGCGGGAAGGATGGGAGCCGGCCCCGGCCCCGTGAACGCCGCACTCGCTCCCTGCCCGCAGGTGATGAATTACCCCGCGCCGAGCGGCTGCAGCAGCTTCCCAAAAAACGTGGAAATACCGTACCACAAAATACACTGCAGTGCATTAAAAAAAAAAAAAAAATTAAAAAAAAAAATCTATCTTGCCTCTTTCCATTTTTAAATCTCCACCCGGATTTAGGGACGGATGCCTCTGCTTTTTCCCCCAGTGAATTGCGTTATTGCACGTAGGCTCGGGGCAAAGACGCAAAATCCGAGGGAGTCGCTGAGCTCTCCCTCGGGCATCCTGCAGCTGCCCTTTCCGCCCGGGCAAGTTGCTGTTTGTTCTTTGACCTTTGGGTTTTGTTTTCGGGGTTTTTTTGTTTTTTTTTTTTCCCTTTAACATCATTTTCAGCCCGGAGAGGGGACGGAAGCAGCAAGGAAAGGACCCGTGCTGGGGTGCCAGCTACTGCCGTGCCCTGCGAGCCGCGGGGCTGGGGGGGTCGGGAGAGCATCGGCATCAGGGTACAAACGGCCTCTGGATTTTGTGGGCTCGGTCCATCCTCCCCGATCTACGCACCTGCGGTTTCCCGCCGTCCCCGTGACAGTGACATTTTCCTCCCGGTAACGTCCCTCTTGCAGAGATGTATTTGGAGGTTTTGCTTGGCAGAGCCTCGGCAAGGATGAGCCAGGCGGGTACCGGGAACACCCACGGCTCCAGCTTTATTTTCCAATTGACTTAAAGGATAAAAATTAAATTAATTCAGAATATAGGCCAAACTACCTAGCCAGAATTTGGAGAAAACTTTCTCCATCGACTCAGTTACTGAATATGATGGGAAATAGCGTACCTTCGCCCGGAATATTTGGGAATAGCTGCTCGCCAGGACACTGGGTTTGGACACGCACAGAGATGCTCAGCCCCGACTCCCCTGTTTTCCCCCAGCACCGTACGCTTCTCCGTTTCCTTTCACCCCTACGGTCCTCCTGGGTCCCGTCAGTTCTAAACGCCTGTGAAATGTCTTCTCGAAAAATCAGAAAGTTGCAGCTGAAACAAATGCCCGTCGGCAGGCACCCATCTTTGCACCAGGATACTGACTGTCGGGCACCGCGGTGCTTGTGTACAGCACCAAAGCAGCCCAACTGAAGGGCGTTTTTGCAGCTCTCCCAGGGAAGGGCATCACGCTGCTGCTCCTTTTTTAACTGGATTTTTAAAACCATATATTGCTCTCAGGAAAAGCACCCCAAGCAAGCAAGAAATAACACCAGAAAACCACTCCGGAGAGCGGCACGACGCGAGACCTGCATTCCCAGCCTCCAGCCCTGCCGGGGACGACCGTAAGGACCAAACGCTGCGGCAAAAAAAAACCCCAACCCCGAGCCCGCGTGAATCCACACGGTTCGGCAACGGTTTCCGCGCGGGATTCCTGGGCAAACCCAGCTGGGATTTTGCAAAGCGCAGCCCCAGCCCTGCACGGGGTCGGAGCCGTCTCCGCCGCCCGATGC